TCAATACCAAGTAGCCACGCAAGGTCCGACTTAGGAGAATGATCCCGAGGACGCGAGTCCAGTAATTCTGCTGTTGGAACAGCGCGTTCTTGAATGCGCGACTCAGCTCGCTCTGCTACTCCGATTATGTACATTTAAGGCAACAATAAAACGAAATATGTTATAAAACACCACTCTGCTTCTTTTCGATTTAATTTAAATACATTTTAAACATTATAAGCACACAAATGTGGTTCAGGCAACGCACAGCCTATTGATTATATTAACTGCATGTATGTAACGTTATATTTATAACAAAACTAAATATAAAACACAACCCTGCCTCTTTTCGTTTACATTTAAAAATATTAAACATATTCCAGGCAATTTATTGCATATTGCATTGGTACAAATGTTGCAATAAACAACTTTACAGATGATCTTGTAATAAAATAAAATAAATGACAAAACTATCTATTTTTGTTGAATTTCAGTTTTATCAACAATAGCCATTATAAAAGTATAAGTAAAAGGTACAAAAAGATATACAGTAAAGCTTTAATAACATAAAGCAAATTCAGTAAAATATACAAATTCAGCGCTCAAATATATGAAACTTCACTTAGCCTTCTGCCATAACCTTCTGCCCAGGGAACGAATTATAGATTCACGAGACCAAAGATCGCCTGTTAGGTCTGTACAAGGCGAATTATATCTCATGTTTAACCACTACAGAGACGTCAGAGTCAGCGGCAAACATCAGAATGACTAGCCGGGGAAAGGCTGCTCCAGGCGGGGTGCACGAGCGCCGAGCGTCCGGTGATTGCTTGGAATGGATCTTCAAATTATCATAAATCTATAAATAAACCACAGATTTGAGCTTTAAAAAACTACTTTCTCGCCTGAAAAACTCTTAAAACTACATTTCGTGACACAATAACAGTAGTATTATATTTCAACTGTATGCTGCTAATGCCCTTGTAGCACGCGCAAGTGACGATACTCTGTCAACCAATCAACGTTCTGCAGTGAGTCTAGCTCCACCTTTTAGTACCGTACCACTGTGCTAGGTACCCCAACGGAAGGGTACCCGAAAAGTGGTACGGTACGGTTCGGCTTTTTGGTACCATTCACAACTTTTGACAGTGGAAACGCAAATAATTGCGTACCGAACCGAACTGTACCGTACCGTACCACTCAGTGGAAACGAGCCATAAGAGAGACCGCTCACTCCCCAATCACAGATCTTTATACTACTCCATATAAGGAGTTAATTAGGGATGGAATACACCTGTTGCTCAACTAACGCCTGCACTGTGTAGCAGAGCCAGTAGAGGCAACCAGGCGGGCGTAACAGTGGGATAAAAGTAACTTTATTATTTCTTACATCTATCTTTAAAGGGGTCATATAATGCCATTTTTGTACAAGCTAATATGATTCTTTAGGGTCTAAATTAAAAGTTTGTAATATACTTTAATTAAAAATTCTCATTAGTATTGTAAGAAAACACTTATTTTACCTGGTCAAAAACAGCTCTGTTTTCAGCACGCCGTTTCAGTGCATATGCCTTTAAATGATCATGAGCTGCGCTCACTCCGCCTCTCTGTTCTGTGCTACACCGTTTGTAACACAATAACACAATAACCATAACGCGTTGTTCAGTATAAACGTGGAATTATGAATTATATTGAGAACTTCATACATAGAAAACATGCCGTAATGTACCCTGACTGAGTGTAAACCTTAGACGCATTCATTGTGAAGCGTGCAGCTAGCGATTTGCAAAGATTAATATATTAATATAAAGTTTAATAAAACGTTTCACTCACTTCCGTTCTTCTGGAGGTTCAGCAGGAACACGAATATCTGGTACCGATCCTTTTTAGCAAAGCTTCTTAGCAAATCCAGCTTTATACTGACCCTCGTTTATAAAGCAGTCTGGTGTGTGAAATGATTCGCGCAAACATGAACGCATTGACGTTGCTCGTGTGGAATATTCCCTTCGAAAACAAAACTCAGCCACTGCGTCTTCAGCGGTTCGGATTCAGGAACATTAAAATGACTGTGTTCGTTATTACACCCAAGAACAGAACACCACAATCGCTTAGACGCCATTCTGCTCATAGACAGTGCTCCGGCACATCAACAATGACCGCGCCGGTCCGCGCAGACTATGATTGACAGCTACCTCATATGCGAGGGCGGGTCTGTGTTGAAACGCTCCCGTCAATCAACAATCGTGGGAGGGGCGTCCGTTTTATTGACGTCACAAAAACGAACGGCTCGATTTGAGGCAGGGGAAAACATATAAGGAGATTAAAACAAAACCACTGGATGGATTTGTATCATTATATGATGTTTGTGTACAGGCACTGCCAACACACATTTCAGTACAATCAACTTGTAAAAGTGCATGTACCATTATATGACCCCTTTAACAAAATAGTGAACTAAAAATAAAAAAATGACAACAACTGGGTATTATTCAATCTATATTGTTCATTACACCCCTTGTGGACAGAAACTGTGGAATCGCCCTACTATAAATTACCGCAACGCCTCCCCCTTTGCCTTTTAGACGAGGTTCCTGTTTATAACTGTAATCTTGTGGGGTTGATTAATTTAAAGTAATGTAATCGTTTAGTTTTAGCCAGGTTTCTGTCAAACACAGCACATCTAGATTATAATCTGAAATCATATCATTAACTATGAGCGATTTTGGAGTAAGGGATCGAATATTCAGCAACCCAAGCTTTATCATTTGCTCATCTGTATTAGATCTGTTTTTTATTTGTTGAACATCAATTACATTTTTTACCTGACGTTTTTTGGATTTCCAAATTCGGGGAACAGACACAGTCTCTATATGATGATATCTAGGTGAAAGAGGCTCTATGTGATGGGATTTATCTGACCTTGGTGACGTGAGGCCGCTAGCAGACGGTCGGTTTAGCCAGTCTGTCTGCTTCCTGACCTGAGCCCCAGATTGTCATGTTTGAGCTCTAAGACTATGAACATGCCTTTGGTGTGAGAGACCCGGGTTCGAATCCACTGCGAGACACCAATGTGTCCCTGAGCAAGACACTTAACCCCTAGTTGCTCCAGAGGCGTACGACCTCTACCATATATAGCAATTGTAAGTCGCTTTGGATAAAAGCGTCAGCTAAATGAATAAATGTAAATGTAAATGGTTATGTGAAGTCGGCTGATCGCTATGATTTTCAGAAACGGAATTTTGAGAAAAACAGGTTTAATTAACTGTCACGTCCTGCTAGCGGGACGACTGGTGCTCTTTTTTTTATTGCCTTTTTTTCATATCACATATTTTAGTAATCATTATGGATTAGGTATCATTCGAAAGCTTACGAACTCAAAATGCATCCTGTGAATCCTCATGATGCATGCATCCTGTGAAACTTGTAATTGCGCATCTCACCACACGATAACGTTGGATAAAACTAAATAAAAACTTGTGTGCCGTTGTAGTTTACTTTATTCTGTTATGTGGTTTTATTTTGATAGGCGAAACTGTCTTTGTAGTGTTAAGAGAAGGAGAGCTAAATGGGCGATTACGTTTTTTGCACTTCCGCTCCGCCGTGCGTGTTTTTTAAAGAGAAAGACAGTCTTTTCAGCTTGCCACTATAAATCGCTATTTTTCTGCACTAAACTAGTGAATTTTCCCAAGATATATTCAGAGATGATAAACAAGATTTTACAGAATAATAATTTATTGAAAACCTAATTTTGACGACAAACTGACATTCAATCTATTTTTAGACCTTACTGAAAATGTACCAGCGCGACATCCGACGGGTTTTCCCAGATCGCATCACATATTCAACGGACATCACTTAGACAGCCAGCCATTGAGTGACCACAATCTGCTAATTATCTCATCGCTCCTGCGTACAGGAAGGGGGCCAGAGCAAATTACAGTGCCTGACATACTTGCGAGTTCACACACCTCTTTAATATTAATTTTGGTGATATCCGACTGGCGGAGTCGAACATCATTAGTGCCGACATGAATAATGATCTTAGAGAATTTACGATTAGCATTAGCCAGCACTTTTAAATTTGCTTTGATGTCAGGCGCTCTGGCTCCCGGCAAACATGTGACTATGGTGGCTGGTGTCTCTATTTTCACGTTCCGTGTGATCGAATCACAATTACCAGGGCACAATCAACAGAATTCTCAGTGGGTGTTTCACTGAGTGGGGCAAATCGGTTTGTTATGGTAATCGGAACGGAAGAGTGGTCTTTTGATCCGCGACTACGATCTCTTACTGTCACCCATCTGCCCTGCTGCACGGGCTCTACTTCAGCCGGAACCGTATCATGTACAGAGTTCACTATGCTAGGCGCATCCAAAACACTATCTAAAGCTCTAGTACTATCCTTACTGTCCTCAATTAAAGTTTGGATGCGTGTCTCTAGTTCTGAAATCTTCTCCGTCAGCCTGACTGTCTCCTTGCATTTATCTCAAATAAATCCTATATTGCCATCGGAGAAGGCTATACTAAACATATGACACGTGACACAGGTGACAATAACAGGACAAGACATTACTCACCGTGTTTGTTGACTGATTCTTACTTACCTGGGCTTTTATGAACTCAAAGGCGCGGGCGCGCGAGAGAAAATAAATAAATAAATAACTGAGCGCACGGGTGGCGCGTTAACAGGCTAGCGAGCTACTAGCGTGCAGTGCTAACAATAACGGAAGCTAGTGATGTAAAGTTAATCTGAGATGTTGGGTAAGCTGTATTTAGTAGTATAAACAACCAGAAATGATGGTTCAAAACAGAAAGAAATACGAGGCTTAGGCGGAGGTTACAACCTCGGAGCAAACCGCAAGTGAATAACTGGAAGATCAGTGTACTCATTCATGGAAAGTTTCAGGGACGTATAATTAATTAATCAAAATATTTATAATTTATAATTAATCTTCATCAACTCCATATTTCTCTATTTTGATTATTTAGAAATGTTTAAAATCTGAGTTTTTCTTTCATGTCAGCCCTGATGGAAGAGAGCGAGGAGAGAGAAGAACTGAGTGAAGTGAAGGAGGAACATCATGTCAAACCTGGAGGAAAACCTTTGAGTCGCTCAAAGACTAAAAATAAATTTTTAAAGAAAAGAAGAGCCAAGAAATCTTTCACCTGCACTCAGTGTGGAAACAGTTTCACAAGCAAATCTAATCTTCAGATTCACATGAGGATCCACACCGGAGAGAAGCCGTTCTCATGTGATCAGTGTGGGAAGAGCTTCAGTCAATCATCATCCCTTAATGTTCACATGAGGATCCACACCGGAGAGAGGCCGTTCACATGTGATCAATGCGGCAAAAAATGTCTTAGGGCATCACACCTGAAGACACACCTGAGAGTTCATACAAAGGAGAAGCCACATTCATGTTCTGTGTGTGAAAAGAGTTTTTCACAGCTGTCTATTTTACATAGACATGAGAAAACTCACACTGGTCTGAGAGAGTACATGTGCTTTGAGTGTGAGAAGACTTTTACTACAGCGGACAGTTTAAAACTGCACCAGAGAATTCACACTGGAGAAAAACCTTACAAGTGTTCACACTGCGACAAGAGATTCACTCTGTCATCATCTCTGAAAATACATGAGAGGATCCACACTAGAGAACAACCTTACAAGTGTTCACACTGTGACAAGAGATTCAGTCACTCATCATCTCTGAAAACACATGAGAGGATCCACACTAGAGAACAACCTTACAAGTGTTCACACTGTGACAAGAGATTCAGTGTGTCATCATCTCTGAAAACACATGAGAGGATCCACACTGGAGAACAACCGTACAAGTGTTCACACTGCGACAAGAGATTCAGTGAGTCATCATCTCTGAAAAAACATGAGAGGATCCACACTAGAGAAAAACCTTACAAGTGTTCACACTGCGACAAGAGATTCAGTCAGTCATCATCTCTGAAAAAACATGAGAGGATCCACACTGGAGAACAACCTTACAAGTGTTCACACTGTGACAAAAGATTCAGTCAGTCATCATCTCTGAAAAAACATGAGAGGATCCACACTGGAGAAAAACCTTACAAGTGTTCACACTGTGACGAGATTCAGTGACTCATCAAATCTGAAAAAACATGAGAGGATCCACACTGGAGAACAACCTTACAAGTGTTCACACTGTGACAAGAGATTCAGTCGATCATCAAATCTGAAAACACATGAGAGGATCCACACTGGAGAGAAGCCGCACACGTGTGATCAGTGTGGAAGCCGTTCTCGGCCCTGAACCGTTCTCGGCTAACCGTGCCGAACCGTGATGGTTGAATGTGTGTAGTGACATCGTCACTCAGGATTGGCCACTTGTCAATTGTCTTGTTTAACCCTCTGGGGTCCACAAACGCGCCGGCGCGTTTTGCACGATTTTTTTCACATAGCAGCAAAATAGACTTAAAATATTCTGTTGATTTTGATCTTACATATACGTGTTATACATCATTCAAAACTGTTAAATGCCTTCTTTTATTTGTGTACACTCATAGTTAAAACAAAATGTTGTGTTTTTCGTAAAATAAAGAAAATAAACATGATGCGTGTTCTGCCGTCTCTCTCAATGTGAAGTTCATTCTGAAACGCGACAGAAAATGATCTGTAAATCTGTGAATGCTTATCACTATGACATGAAACATATGTCTTTACAATGCTTGAAGTCTCTATATTAGTCCATTTTAGTCCATTTTAAATATGTTCATTTTAAAATGATGTAAATCATATCAAAAACACATATTCTCTGTTTAAGTAATTCGTATGAAAGCAACGACATGTACAGTTTCTCCAGCCCGGGCTCATTAGGGCTAATGTGACCACACCCACGGTCGTGAGAGCTGTTCAGATGCAAATGAGCCCCGCGGAGGAACGCAACGCCCTCTAAATAAAGAATCAGCGACTTAAGTGTTCAGTTCTGCTCTGCTTTTCACCGAGTTTGAAGACTGTGCTGTGCTGTTACCTTGTATTGGATTTACCAATACAAGAAGAGTTAGAAGAACACGATTTGATTATGAGAACGATTTTTAAGGTAAGACACGAATAGTGGCTTATTGATGTTAGTCTTAACTTTACATTGTATGTAGCTACTAGTTAAACTGGTGCCAGACTAAAATGTACGTTATGAAATGTGATTGGAGTAAAAACATAAAGCCTAATGCTAAATGTATATACATGTACGACACGAGAATGTTTTTATGTTCGATAATTAAACACCGCACGATATAACAGTATAGGCTATAGGCTTGTATTTTTTTATTCATGGTGAATATTATAATGTTTAAACCTGTGTTTACTGTTAAATACTGTGTTTGTGGATATCTGCTCACACATAGATATGGTAAAAATAATGTTTCATAGTTTGGAGCGGTTCGATCTCTTCAGTAAATGTTCTCTACACGCGCTGTGAGTTTGAGTTGCGCTGTGGGATTGAAAAGCAAAACGCACCAAACATTAGGCTTCATGTTTTTACTCCAATCTCATTTCATAACGTCGTAATGAATGGAAACGTTTGAAGTAACATATGATAATCCATATATTTGTCTCTAGTGTAGAGGCTGTCTGCTGTCTAGGCTATTGTTAATAAATGTAGCCCTACACATATGCCTACAAGGCACAACAAACTTGTTCATATATAGTGTATGTATGTATTTAGTAAATTTCATAATTTTAACCAGAAAAATCTAAAATGTATTCCCAAAATCGTGCAGCCCTATAGTTTCTCTTGATATCAGCATGTTCACAGGTGTGTTTTTTTACATGAGTCTCTGTACACGAACATGGTAAAGTGAAAAATCAAACACCTTGGAGATGACGGGTATGTAGCCTACTATGTTTTAGGAATGGTCCAACTGTCCAAGTCTTGTAGTGTTGTAAATAAATCCAAACAATCTAAAAGCCATTCTTTTTTAAGTCTCTCCTCATTCATATCTTACAAATTTAAAATTAATATATTGTATTATATCTGAATGAGTAGTCAGGATGATTTTCACATAGTTTTGAAGCAAATATTCTAGGCCAGGGCTATTCAAATACATTTGCAGGGGGGCCAAACTAGGAAATTCCTAAATTTCTGAGAGCGGGACGGACAAATTTATATCAGCTAAAGCAAATTAAAATATACTATACTTGTTGTTGGCATCCTTCTGTCTTCGAGAGACAATGGTTTAGAATCTGCACCCAGGTCAGTCTGTGGTTTGGTTGCAGACTCTACTATGACTGTAGAGTCCGATACGGGAGCGACAGCACCGCTGGCACTTGCTACAAGTGTAAGCAGTGGTGATGTCAATGGGAACAAGCTGAACGCTTTGCTGCCGGCGAGCCCTCTTCTCCTCGCACTGCATTGCTCTTCGGCTAAAAGGACACCAGTCTTAACGGTGGATCGCCAATTTTCGCGGTCCGATGTCACTGCTTCCAAATCAGCCGGACAGATGCTGCACATTTTCAAGTCTCGCTTGCAGGCGTCCTTATAGCGCAGGGTTGGCCGTCCAGATGGTCGTGTTCCTGTGGTAAGCTCCCCGTACAGAACGTCCTTTGGAATACGACCATCATCCATCCTGCACAGGTGACCAAGCCAGCGCAGTCGCCTCTGTGTAAGGATGGTGAACATAGTTGGCATACCTGCCTGGGCCAGGATGGCTATGTTTGTGATACGATCCTGCCAGGTGATGCTCAGGAGTCGTCTGAGGCAGCGCATATGGAAGGCATTCAGTCTTTGCTCTTGGCGAGAATATAGAGTCCAAGCTTCACTGCCATAGAGTAGGGTGCTCAAGACGCATGCTTGGTACACCTTCAGTTTTGTTTTGAGTGTCAACAGAGTGTTATCCCAAGCCCTCTTTGCTAGTCGAGCCATGGCGGTGGCTGCTTTGCCTATCCTTATATTGAGCTCAGTATCCAGGGATAGGTTGCTGCAGATGGTGGAGCCAAGGTATGTGAAATTCTCCACTACCTCCAGGGTGTGGTCGTTGATAGTGATTTCAGGAGTGGTGTTGACATCTTCCATCATTATTTTGGTTTTCTTGATACTGATGGCAAGGCCAAACTGCAAAGCAGGTGATAAGTCGCTGGAGGGCACCCTCAGTGTGTGCAGCAAGAGCAGCATCATCTGCAAACAACATCTCTCGTATGAGTACCCTGCGGACCTTAGTCTTTGCTCTGAGGCGGGCAAGGTTGAAAAGGTTCCCGTCACTCCTAGTATGGAGGAAGATCCCGTCTTCAGAGTTGCAGAAGGCATAGCGCAGGTGCAGGGAGAAGAACACGCCAAAGAGTGTTGGCGCCAGAACACACCCCTGCTTCACACCACACATGATTGGAAAAGGGTCTGAGGATGACTCGCCATTCTGGACTGTGCCCATCGTATTCTCATGAAATGATATAATCAACTTCAAGAGCTTGGGGGGCATCCAATCCTGTGTAGGAGGGTGAAGAGGCCAGTCCGACTTACCACGTCGAACGCCTTGGTCAGGCCTATAAAGGCAAGGAACAGAGGACGTCTCTGCTCACGGCACTTCTCCTGTAGCTGCCTAAGGGTGAACACCATGTCAATTGTTGACCGTTTTGCTCGGAACCCGCGTTACGACTCCGGTTACACACGATCGGCGAGCAGTTGTAGGCGGTTAAAGATGACGCGAGCAAAGGCTTTCCCCACAACACTGAGGAGGGAGATCCCACGATAGTTATTGCAGTCACTGCGATCACCCTTGTTCTTATAGAGCGTGAGGATCTTAGCATCTCGCATGTCTTGGGGTATAATGCCCCCTTCCCAGCATTTAAGCAGGAGGTTGAGAAGGTGGCCAAGAAGAGAGCTCCCCTTTCCTGCCTTGATAATCTCTGGTGCCATTCTATCACTGCCTGGTGCTTTCCCACAGGCCAGTGAATCGATGGCCTTCCCAAGTTCCTTGATGGTGGGTGGCGAGTCAAGCTCCTCCATGATGGGCAGAGGCATGGTATTTCGAATGGCTGTGTCAGCAACAATGTTCTCTCTTGAGTACAGTTCCTGGTAGTGCTCAACCCATCTCTCCAACTACTTTCGGCGATCTGTGATGATCTCGCCGGAAGTAGATTTTAGGGGAGCAGTCTTGATGGCATTGGGACCAAACGCTTTCTTCATGCCTTCATACATGGCTCGGATATTACCACAGTCTGCCGAAGTCTGAATATCGCTACACAACTTCAGCCAGTAGTCGTTCGCACACTTTCGGGCAATCCTCTTTGTGTTATTACGTGCCTCTCTGAGGGCAGCCAACGTCCTTGCATAAGGCTGTCTCTTGTGCTCAAGGAGAATGGTACGTTTTGCAGTGATGGCAGGCTCCAGCACCTCGATCCCTGCCACAAACCAATCTTCACTCTTTTTTACCCTTTTTCCCAAAGGTGTCTGAGGCGACCTTGTACACGGTGTCACGGATGTACTCCCATCGCGTCGTAACACTGTCTACAGGGCAGTTCTCCAGGGCCTCATCAATGGCCCTGGCGAAACATTCCCGCAGCTCTGGCACTGATGTTCTTGCCGTGTTGATGCGAGGGCGGCCCTTCTGCTTCGAGCGGTGGGCTTGTCTAAGTTGAAAACGCACCTTACTGCTGACCAGGGAATGGTCCGTGTCGCAGTCAGCACTGTGTTACGTGCGGGTGACGAGCACGTGCTTGAGCATGGGTCTCCGAGTAACAATAAGGTCAAGCTGGTGCCAGTGTTTGGATCTGGGGTGTCTCCAAGACACTCTGTGGTGGGGAAGAAGGTGTTGAATACTATAATAAGGTACATAATATGAAATAAAATAAGGTACATTATTCTTTTGGTTTCCTTTTATTATTTCAACACATTCAACTTGTATTGATAAGGCCTGCAACAAAGTGCAAAACTGCAAATACTGAGACATATACACAGTTTTTACCCTTAAAATAGTAAACATAAGTAAGAGCTTATATAAATATATATATATATATATATATAAATTAATCAATAAAGCTGTCATAAGTGCAAAACTGCAACTGCAGTTTCAAGTATCAAATCTTATTTGGGGAAATTACAACATTCAAAAATCCCTGATGTATATTTTTCAAAACAGTGAGTACACATTTAAAAAACTTTCAAGTGTACAGTAAGTACAAATCTGCTACATATGTGCTGTAAACATACTCTTGATGAAAACTAACTAATAACAAGAATATTTTTTTCCTCATTTAGTTTACTTTATTTATCAGTGATCAGTATGTGACTCAGTGGGAG